CTACACGCTGGCACCGGCAACAGGTCCTTCGATCTTGCTCGTGCTCTCGGGCCAAGGGTACGCCCACTTTTCACCCACCGACGACGACGACGCGCTGACGTCCAAGCTGGAACTGTCGACGGGGCATGTGTTTTTCGTGCCTGCCGGCCAAAAGCTGGCGTTCGAGAGCGGGATTCAAGGCCTGACCGTGTACCGCTCGTGCCCAAACGAAGGCCCGCACGCGTAGAAGAGAGCTTTTCGCATCGCGCGCATTAATTATAAGGTTTTCGTTGTTTCCCTGCTCGCCGGCAAGAGTACCTACTAGTAGCAGCTTGGTCCAGCGAACGTGGTCGTAAGCGTCGTCGCAGCGCTGGGTTTGTAGCGGAAGGTTCGTGCGGCGATCGAACTTGGAAGATCGCCACATCCGTCGACGGATTTTTGCAACAGAGGGACCGTTGGTTTGAAGGAGTGGACCGTTTCATGAACGAAACCGCAATATTATCCGGCGCATATTATCCGGACACGGCCGCAGATTTGCGCCAGTCATCTTGCAGGATGGCCAAGAACAAGAAGGCCAAGCAGCCGCCGGCGACCGACGCGGCCAAGGCGCCGACAAAGTCCGCTGACGTGGCACCGCCCACGCGCTTCTTCAAGCTTGAGGTCGGCCGCGCCATGCACGGTTCGTCGGACCCGCGCTCGGTCCAGATCATCACGCGCATCAACATGCACCTCGCGGATATGAAGGGCCATGGCTTTGCAACTGGCGATGCGATCGTGATTTGTGCGGCAGGTGGCGACGATGGGCCCGGGCGCGCGCTTCTATCGGGCTTGGTGTGGCCTTCGGAGAAGACGAAGCGAGGCATGGTCGTCGTCGGGTCCGTCTGGAAGGACGCCATGGAGCAGCTCGGCCTCGACGCGGTCGAGGTGTGCGGCTTGTACAAGCACCCGCACGTGACGCGTGTTGTCGCCACTGGCATCACGCTCCAAGCGCTACCGAATGCGCAAGGACTCCTTCCGTCTCTGGCCGAGAAGGAGCAGGTGCTCTTGACAACGTACGTGCGCTCGATGCTGCTTGGCGCGATGCTGCTCGAGAACGCGATCTTGGTCCTCTCCGTGCACGGCGTGGCCCGGCGCTTCCAGGTGCTTACCTGCGTCGGCAAGGCACCGCTCTCAGCGCCCACTGCCACGAACATTTACGTCATCTTGGCGAATACGGCCACGACCGTTCATTGGACAACGACAGCGAATGTTGCGTCACTGACGCCGGCGCCAGCACAGTTGGCGCAGTCGTTTGATGCGATCGGTGGCTTGCGCGACCAGATCGACGCTGTCCGGCAACTCATCGAGCAGCCGCTCGTCAACCCAGGGCTGTTTGCCCGCTTTGGTCTGCCGCCGCCCAAAGGCGTCCTTCTGTATGGTCCGCCAGGCACGGGCAAGACCATGATTGCGCGCGCGGTCGCTGCCGCCGCCAAGGCCAAGGTCTTTACGATCAACGGCCCCGAGCTCGTGAGCAAGTTTGTCGGCGAAAGCGAAGCCAACGTACGACACTATTTTCGTTGCCACACGTTCATTGCGAGGCCCGTGCGTAGGTGCGTGCGATCTTTCAGGCGGCCGCTGCGCAGAGCCCCGCGCTCGTCTTCATCGACGAGATCGACGCGCTCTGCCCCAAGCGCGATTCCAACGTCGGCGACATGGAACGCCGCGTTGTTGCGACGCTTCTGACGTGCATGGACGGCCTTGATGCAGCGCCTGGCGTCGTCGTCTTGGCCGCGACCAACCGCCCGAACGCACTGGACCCGGCGTTGCGTCGACCGGGTCGCCTTGACCGTGAAATTGAAATTCCGATCCCGTCCGCCGCCGATCGACTGCTCATCTTGCGCAAGACGCTGAGCACTATGCCGCACGCGGTCTCGACCGACGACCTCGAAGTGATTGCGGGCCGCGCGCACGGCTACGTCGGCGCCGACCTCAGCGCGCTCTGCAAGGAGGCGGCGCTGCTGGCGCTGCGGCGGTCCATCGAGCACGTGACGGTATTACCAAGCGACATGACCGCCGCGATGGCCAAGATCCGCCCGAGTGCGCTCCGTGAGATTACGCTGGACGTGCCGCGCGTGCTTTGGAGCGAGATTGGTGGCCAAGGCAACATCAAGCAGCAGCTCAAGGAGGCCGTCGAGTGGCCGCTTCAGCACCCCGAGGCCTTTGTGCGCATGGGCATTCGTCCGCCGAAAGGCATCTTGCTCTACGGTCCGCCCGGTTGCTCCAAGACGCTGACGGCCAAGGCGCTTGCGACCGAAGGGGGTATGAATTTCATCGCGATCAAGGGCCCCGAGCTCTTCTCGAAATGGGTCGGCGAGTCAGAGAAGGCGATCCAGTCCATCTTTGCCAAGGCGCGTGCCGCCGCGCCCAGCGTCGTCTTCTTTGACGAGATCGACGCGGTCGCCAGTTCACGGTCCGGAGGAAGCTCGTCCAGTGTACGTTTACATACGACAATGTTCGTGTTGGCTTATACCTGCTGTCGTAATAGGTCGGCGACCGTGTCTTGAGCCAGCTCTTGAACGAGCTCGATGGCATCGAGCCGCTGAAAAAAGTCATCATCGTCGCGGCCACCAACCGACCAGATCTGATTGACGCGGCCCTCATGCGACCGGGCCGCATCGACCGCGTGCTCTACGTGGGCCCCCCGGATGCACTTGCCCGTGAAGAGATCTTGCGCATCCACACGCGCAAGATGCCGTTGGACGCCGACGTTGACATGGCAGCGCTCGGGCGCTGGACCGACCGCTTCTCTGGCGCGGAGCTCGCCGCCTTTTGTCGGGAAGCTGCGCTCGCTGCGATCCAAGAGGACACGAGCACGCGCGCCGTCGCGTCACGGCACTTTACGACGGCGCTCTCGATGATTACGCCGCAGATCGATGACAAAATGCTCGACTTTTTCGCAAAATATCGCGACAATCACCGAGGCGCCTAAACCAGAAGAAAGAAGATGTGTGTTGTCCTTCCTGCAGTGGATTCTTTGTGCAAGAGACAAGATTTGTGTGCATTGCCGCCATGGCCACACCGGTGGTGTAAGCTCCAAGCGCATTGCAGTGGAGGAGTTCCAGCGAGGTGCTTGCATTTCAATCGTGATCGAAATATGAGCGCCTTCATTTAGACATCACCTCGCTTTTGCGTTGGGAAAAGCGAGACCCGAGACGAAAAGGCGTGTGCGGGCCAGTGCCGCCTTGGCAGCTTTAGTGCGCCAAGATGGCTGCACCGGTGGCGTGAGCTCCAAGCGCACTGCAGTAATATAGGTTG